ACACGGCACCCAGACACGGCACCCAGACACGGCACCCAGACACGGCACCCAGACACGGCACCCAGACACGGCACCCAGACACGGCACCCAGACACACCTTTCTTTTAGGGGTAAATCCTTTCTTCTTTTCTGCCAAGACTTCAGCCTGTTTAGAGAGCGATCCAAAAACCGATGAAGAGACAGGAACAGAGTCAGACTGGACCAACAGCTTTGCGGCAGTACGAGAGATGAGCATGTATCATCGTTCTGCAATTCAAGTCAAGTTATTTATGGAGATTCTCAGAGCCTGCAGACTCGTGCTCCATTCGGGAAGAGGCTGTGCGGTGGCTGAGGTTTTACGGAACAGCGCTGCTACTCTTCAAGCAAAAGCACCAAAGCTGAGCCTCTGAGGAGCGATAAATGTCAGCTAGACCGGCATAAACCGTACAGCCGCTCACCTTAAGCAGCGGCATGTCGCGAGCCTGCTGCACCAGCAGGTGGAGCTCATTGATCTGCTGCAGCACCAGCGGAGGCACTGGGTTACAGCAAGCGGCGACGCCCTGGGGCATCCTGCAGCGAGGAAAGGGCAGTTAGCGCCAGTGCTAGCAGGACGCCCAGCATGACCATCCAGGTCTCCTCACGTTTCACGGCCCACGACCTTATGGACACACTCAGTATTTTATTGCCACATGTCAGGTGACCTAAACCGACCAGTAAGATGGTGAACAGGCCTGTGTAGCATCCACAGCAAAGGAGGGGGACAATCAAACCACAGTCTGCACAGGTTAACACGCTTCGAGGTTTAAGCGACGACTTACTTTGGCAGCTCTTCAGAAATCTTAATCATCATGTGGGTGGGCAGGATATACCTGAAAAAGGAACAAGCAAGTCAACATGATGCACATCGCTAATAGCCACCACAAACATGCTGGCCCTATGGCGGCAAGCACAGAACCACAGCTCATCAGGTATTACGCAGAACGACAGAGTCATGATATAAAGACACATTTCAAACAGAGCAGTTGGGTAGCAGTACTTTGGAATAACTGGAAAAATTACATACACTAGTGGTATGAGATGGATTTCTTCAATGTCCCTTGGTCCTCATATTCACGCATGCACATTTATTAGAGCATATACGGCAGGAAGTCGGCATGCGGCTGCCCCGCCCCCTTACCCCGTGCTCTCATCCTCCTGCCTGCCCAGCCTGTCTCTCCAGGCGTACAGCAGCCTGAAGGCTGTCAGCTGCTGAGTGTTGAACGTCCTCTTCTGCTTGCGGTAAACCTCCATGTACGAGTGTTCTGTGAACAGGGGCTTTACGTACACCTGTTCAGGGGCACATGCGTGTGACGTGTTTAACGGCATTCATCACATCCAGCTCTGGACCCCCTACTGTAAACTATATGGACGATCCTAACAGTAAGTGCACCGAGAAGATAACCAGCTTAACTAGATGGGTCAGAATAGAAATGTGTTGGACAGGTACAGCTCAACGAATGGATGAGCAGAGGTGCGACTGCTGCTCCTCTGCTGTGTCTGTGGCTGCTTTTGGTCGCTGGGGCCAGGCCAGCTCACTGACTGTAAAGGCGCAGGGAGAAGCGGATGTGCCGCAGGAGGCGTCCGAAGCCCCCAGGAGGCCCCCGAAGCCCCCAGGAGGCCCCCGAAGCCCCCAGGAGGCCCACGGTACCTTCAGAGAGAGGTCCCTGCTCCTGAGCCACACGGACTGTACGAGGCTGTGCTGCCCGTTCGCCGCCTCGAAGAGGTCGGCCCTCATCCGGTCGTAGATGTACAGCAAGTAGTGTGTGTCAGCGCGGGCGTACTGGAACATCTCCACCGGGAGGGGCCTGCAGGACACACACACGGCGGCCGTCATCTGCCTCAGGGCGGCACAGGTGCTGCCAGAGGTCCAATTCCCAAGGCAACACCAAAACCATCTGGTAACTATGGATACCACAGCAATGCATCCTCCGATTCATTTGTCTCCAAAGAGGGGCGCCATAGTGGAGCAGTGGCTTGCACTGTTGCCTCACAGCCCTGGGACCAGGGTTCGAGTCTCTGTCATGGTGGGTTTGCATGGTCAGTGTAGGGTTTCCTCCAGTTACTCAGGTTCCCCCCCCATAGGTGCCCGGCGTGTGTGTGTGTGAGTGCCCGGCGTGTGTGTGTGTGAGTGCCCGGCGTGTGTGTGTGTGTGAGTGCCCGGCGTGTGTGTGTGTGAGTGCCCGGCGTGTGTGTGTGTGAGTGCCCGGCGTGTGTGTGCCCTGTGATGGTTGGTGCCCCATCCTGAGCTGTTCCCTGCCTAGTGTCTCCCCCACCCCCATATCATCTAACAAGCACAGCAAAAACTACCCAAAACCCCAGTAAACTGGAGCGCCGGCTGCTGAGGACAGATACAGCCCCAAGCAGCCAGTACCAGCAAAGGCTAAATACAGAAATAACGCTCCACTTCATGTCAGTTGTAATGTCAAAGTGCTACTTGCTTTCACTGTATTATTATCTCGATCGCCTATTTTTCATGGCTGTCTGTACTGGGTGCGACACAGTGAGCATTTCCATAACACCTGCCGCAGACACACTAAAAACATGAAGTATTTTTTAAAGCAGAACTTGTCATCCTGGGAGTGGACAGCAAAATATTTAAACCGGCAGACAGAAAGAGCTGAACGACACACAAAAGCCCTGACAGGTGCCCTCTCTGTCCTCTTGTAAATAATCACATCGCTCTCTGACCCGCCAGCTTAGAGGAGAACAATGGCAGCAACCCAAACCAGCCACCAGTGTCCCTAAAATGATGCCTCTTCCCTCATTTGGCAGACATGCCTCAAAGCATGTTGGGCATTATCATATTTAAAGCGACACCTGCTTTATTGTAAACCAAAGAGCTTGGCAAACCGGTTTGTGACTGACAACATTGTAATCCAGGTTTCAAAGCTTACTTTTTTCCAATGCATAAGATTCAGTCATTTAACAGACATATGACTAAGTAAAACATACCACGTGTCACTGTTCATTGGACGCCGCACATCTTGGAGGGTAACGGCCATGACGGGATTACCTGATCCTCCAGTCTGCAAGCTGGTAGCGCTTGTCCGAGCTCACATCGCAGTAGGTCTTAAGCAGGTGGTCCAGAGAGTGCCGGCCCAGGCTGGCGGCACGGGCTGCCTGGTGAGTGTCGAACAGCTGCACCACGTACAGGCCGAAGTCCCTCTGCAGCCACTCGACGTCCGAGTCTGCGCCGTGGAACACCTAGGGGGCAGAGGGAAAGTCAATGACCAACGTCCTACGCTACCCCCCCTTAGCACAGGAACCCACAGCATCACCAGGATAATGGCACATCAAACACACTAACGAGAGTTTGGCAGCGAACCAAGCGGCGGAAACGTAAACATCCGCAGTGACAACCTTGACGATGGAGGGATCGGTGAACGTCTCGTTGAGGATGTACATTTCGCTGCGCAGCTCAAGCGTGTCGATGATGTAATCCTCATCCCGCGTCGAAATCTGCATCAGGCACGTAAGGCCAAGGAAACTTCGGTAGGAATGATGCTGGAGGAGAAGAGACAGTCAGCAAACCACTGGGACCCCCTGACATTAAAGAGCCCACCCTACCCTACCCCCACGGTGCCTCCCAGTGGTCACACACCTCAAGATCCACAGCAAACTCCGACGTTTTAGCCAGCCTCTCGTTCAGAGCCACCAGGTCCTCCAGGGTGTCAATGAACTTGCAGCTGGTCTCAGAGATGGGTTTGAACATCTGCAACACGCAGGTAACGCTGCTGAACTGCTACGCATCGCACCCAGAGACCGGTTTAAGGTTCTCTACAGTTCTTTGTGTGTTATGCAGTTATTTCAGCTATTTGTAGGCATATCTTATAAAAATAAACTCAAAAGAATAAAGGTTAAACGCCTACAAGGATAATTACTGTGACCAATTCTCAGAAAAAGGACTATTTATAGAAACAAACAGTACTGATTGGAAAACAAGATTGATAATGAATAATTAAATAAATAAAATGATTAAGAATCCTAGCCAACCAACCTGTGGCTCAGGTTTAGACACGAAGCTCTCTGGCATCGACAGGTGGTCCAGCTCATGCTGATAGGGGTGGGCGAACCTGTGGGAGGAGAGGAGATGCCATGGCAACAAGCGTCAGTGATGCACTGGGAGAGCAGGCAGCCTCAGAGACCTGTTGGGGAGCCCCTACATGTCATCCATGTGCTCCTGCGTCCTCTGCTGGTGCACAAAGTCAGCCAGGGCTGCGGGGATGTCCAGATCCTCCGGCCTCTCCTTCCGCGAGCGCTTGTTGCTGAAATCTGAGTAAGGATTACAACAAACAAAAATGCAGATTCTGTATTTTGGAGTCAAGACAAAATTAACAAAAGAGACAAGGAGACAGGCTGAGCATACAGGATGGGAGGGGCTTCATGGCATTGGGCTTGATGAAGATCTTGGAGACAAATGGCGTGTTGTTGTTGTCCACCTTCTCCTGGAATTTGAGCTGTGGCCTCGGGATGTTCTTGGCCTGCAGCAGCCGGAAGGTCTCACTGGCAGATTTCCGGGCTGGGTCCCGCCCCTGGAGATGAGTCATGCCAGGCCTGAGTCAGACTCTGAGGCTGCGACTGCAGCTCGACCCAGAGCCCCACATACGCCGATTACATATGAGCTTCCTGGGGGATGAAAAGTCTGGGCTTACTTTGCGGTTCCAGCTGGACACAACCGTCTTGGGCGGCTGGAAGCCCACGGGCATGACGGGCTGCTGGCTGCGGTTCAGCCCCGAGGCCTCATCCAGCAGGATGCCCTGAGGGGGGAAATGCCCAGCAGAGATTAATGACACAGCAGGTGCCATGATGGCTACGGAGCCTCTGGACAAAATACAAAAAAACAACTTTTAATCACTGCACTGGCAGAGCAAAATAGACACGTTTCTCAATCAATGCTTTTTTACATTTGCAAAATCACTCCATTTCTATTTAGTGTCCACCAATCTTCCATTGCTTATCCAGTATTGGGTCACTGGTGCGATCTACTCCAGGAAGCACAGAGCTTGAGGGAGAGGATGTCCCAAGCGGATCTGGCTGCAGAACAGTGGGCGACGTCCACTGTGGTGTCAAAAATCACACGACCTCCACAACGTTATACAAACACAACAGCACTGGATATGACGTTACTGTAACATCAGGAACTGACATTAATAGTCTCTTTTAAAATATGTATCTCCTATTTCGGTGATGTTAGTGCAACATTGGGAACGGATGTTAATGTCATTTAAATCTACAGGAACGGATTTGCCGTTTTGGTGTAAAATTCTCACCTCTGTGTATTTTAAGATATTAGGAGAAATATCTGTCTTCATAAATTTAAAGCAAACAAAGTGCTATCTATCTACGTGTTCAGCCTGCTGAGTTCTCCTGAGTTCTCCTCAGCAGTGTCGTGTCCGGCCCTGATGTGGAAACCCTCCTACTGGAGGTCGCCCAGTGTTCTGCAGCCAGACCCTTCTCAGATGTCCTGGACAGGATGACAGTCCATCGAAATGCCCACACTACTCACATACAAGACACACCAAATTTACACAGACAGAGCATATAAACTCTACGCTGTCCATATTCATCATATCAGCAGTTTACATACCACTCTTTCAAGTATAACATCATTGGAATCCACAACTAGGTCAAAGCTCTCCTCCAGGCCTGTCAGTCTGTTCTGGTCGCGTGTGAGTGGTCTGCAGCCGTGATGTCGCATCAGCTGACTCATGCTGAAAACCAAGCAGTTTATGTGCATTGTATAGCATCAGAGCTTAACCTCTCAGCTATAAGGGATCTATACCCATCAGAGAACACCATCGCACCCAGCCGGCCCAGAGGAGGTCTGCTCAGACTCACCATTGCAGGAGCCTGTCCCCCTGAGCTTCACAGAAGCTCCGGAAACCAGGAAAGCTGCGGTAGAGGTCATATTCATCGCCAGATTGGGGAAGGTTGGAAGACGCCTTCGTGACAGAAACCACTGTTCCCAGTCCATGCTGAGGACGCAGAGAAACACGGTCACTCGTACCCTACCCTTTACGCGCGTAAAGTATTCAATATAGTCAAATACAACATTGCACAAAATTTAAAAATCTATATAATTAGACTGAATGACAGCAATATAATTATACACAATACCACCGTTTTCAAATCAGGTATTCAGACATACATTATTTGTTCCGAGGGGGAAATTCAATGGGCACTACCGCTCATGGCAATTTCTCAGTTTTCCTTAATTAATTATCATAATAAAAGCCCAAACGCCACGCTGACCAGCTGTACACGGGCTGCGAGTACATGCCGTCAGCAGGAGCACGCTGCTCAGCACTGGGGCTACTGGCGTAAACCGACGCACCACGGATTACACTCACACCAAAGAAAGGTCTACTAACGCAACGAACCTTCACAAAAGCGTCTGCGTCCTTAAAACCCGGAAACATGCTGACATTGTCTTTATCCAACTCCTGCGCCGATAACACGGCGTTGCTTCCTTCAGTCTCCATCCCCCTAGACGCCGCCATTACGGGACTTTGTAACAACGCGATACGCGAGATTCTCAGAACGCAGCGCATGGAGGGCGGTGCGCATGCGTCAGATGCTGCAGTTTGCCTGACAAATAAAAAATGGCCATATGTGTGTATATATATATATAATTTTATGTCTAATTTTTTTGTATGTGTACATTTTCAGCTTAATCTTTTCCAATGAATGTAAGATTTGTTTTGCTATTGAAAAATCAACATAGAAAAGGTGGGTGAAAGCCCAGGATGGATTATCAATTCAGATTAACCTCAGCATGTTTTTGGACTGTGTGAGAAGCCACAGAACCCAGAGGAAACCCCACAATGACACAGTTGGAACATGCCAACTCCACACACATGCAGGCATGTCAGAGACTCAAACCCTGGTCCCAGAGGTGTGAGTATTTCACCATTTTACTTTTGGCTTTAGACACAACAAGCTGATCCCAAGGAAATAAAACACCTTCTTGGTTTGTATTCTTTCAACCTGTCAGTGATACACTTTTGGCCCAGGCCATTTGGAGCTTTTTATGCTGAAAAAAGTATGTTAAAAGCAAAAGTGCATTTTCACAACTTTACATTGTCTCAAAGCTCTTTACATTGTCCCTGCCCAAAGCAAGCCAGAGGTGACAGTGGCAAGGAACAACTCCCTAGAAGGAAGAAACCTTGGGAGGAACCAGACTCAGAGGGGGAGCCCATCCTCCAGGGGGCAGCAGAGGGAGTACAAAATAGCAAAGTCCCAGTTTATTAAGTAACACTGTGTATAGTCCAGATATAAATATGGAAGGTTCAGTGTAATTATGGAAGCTGATGTTAGGACAGGCTGCTTCCTTCAGTGGGATGGAGTGATGATGTCATCCAGCAGCAAGCAGGTGTGTGGTCAGGCTGGGGGGGCAGGGAGGGAACTGGCCACCATCAGGTGCTCCAAGACAGAACTGAACAATGCATTAATAAAACTAAGAAGAACAAGTAGATGGAATTATATACAGTATTATGTAGTATAGCGATAAGGAGGCTCCAGCAGGTCTAATTAACTATGGAAGCTTTACTAGGTGGGAGATGTGGGGGGGCACAGGCACGAGGAATCCCTGAGCACCAGCACTCCAACAGCACATGGGGGACGTGAAGCCAGAGTGACAGCACTGGGGGGGGGGGGGGGTGTTTAGCCTTGACTTAAATATCGTGAGTGTGAATCTCAGACATTTGCTGGTAGACTATTCCATAACATTGGAGCCCTGTAACAGAATGTTCTGCAAATAAATGGCGATTGTGACACTCCAGGCACCGCCAGGTAGCATACCCATTCAGAGTGAAGCAAACGGGGGGGGGGGGGGTTCTGGAACCAGTAGACTGCTTTGCTGAGACCATTCAGTGCCTTATAGGTAAGCAGTAGCACCTTGTAGTCGATACGAGACCTAACTGGGAGCCAGGAGAGTGAAGCCAGTACAGGACTGATATGCGCATGATTCCAAGTCCTTGTTAGGACTTTTGCTGCAACATTCTGCACCAACTGGACTTTATGTAATGATGCAGAGGCACACCCAACCAATAGGGTGTTGTAATAGTCCAGTCTAGAGGTTATAAAATTGTGTACTAACATTTCTGCATCCTTAAGTCCACTGTGCTTGCATTGACTAGACAGCTGTCAAGCTTTGTGGTCTCAACACCTGGGGCTGGTCTAGGGCCCAGTAGTAACAGCTCTGTTCTCTCAGCATTTAACAGAAGGACGTTACTGGCCATCCAGCTTAACTTCAGCCAAGCATCCCTCAGTCTTTGACAGCTGTGACATCTCATCTGTTTTAACAGATGTGTACAGCTGTGTGCGGTCTGCTTAATGATGAAAACACATTCTGTGTTTTCTAATGATATCCCCAAGGGTCAGCATATGTAAGGTGAACAGTAGTGGACCCAGAACAGAACCTTGCAGAACACCATACCACAGTTTGGAGGATTCATTGTTCAAACGAACTGGTGACAGTCATTTTGATATGAGGGGAACCAGTGCAGTGCCTGTCCTTTAACACCAACCAAAGACTCTCATTTGCCAATAACATCTCAGTCAAAAGTATTAAAATGCTGCACATAGACCTAGCAGAACTAGCAGGGACACGCAGCCATCATCAGCAGCCACAAGCAAGTCACTAAAAGTAACTGAGAGCCAGTGCAGTGATTAAAAGTTGTTTTTTTGTATTTGTTTAAATTCTAGCAGCAGCATTTTTAAATTACAGCTGCATAATGTTTTTCTTTTTTCAAAAAGGCAAGTCAGGACAGTATTGAAATATCTATTACTCATTTTCTGACAGAAATTGAGTATAGATTAATGTGCAATTTTAGGGAATATGCAAATTATTGTAATGATTTATGATTTTGTTTTAATTAAAATTTACATTAAGAATATTTTAATAAGCATACAGATGGTTTCAGGCCAAATGTCTTGACATAATTAAGATTAAATTACATTGAAACATTGTTTCTCTTAATATTACCTTCCACGAATAGGTAATTTTTTAATGAATACGGTCTGTTCATAAATCTGTCCTGTTCATTGCTTGGGTTTGGATTCCAATGAAAATCATAAATCACTGGACTGGTTAAGCAGTTAATTTTAAGTAGATGGATAGTTACTTGTTTAAAGTTAATCAAAGAAATGAATAAGGGCTTACTCGAAAGGACAGACTTCACTATCACATTTCAGCAACGAGTGATTGATTTTATTATAAAAACAGACCCTTTGCTCACTTTCATGTCACATGCCATCAGTGACGTATCCCTGAGTTTCCTGAGGATTCATGTTATTTCTCACTGAAGCTAATTAACAGTGGCTGTTTGTACAGCTGGTTTTTATTGCCATTACAACAGCCCAGAGAAACTAAATATTTTAATTTAATAAACATTATTCTAGCGAAAAAATCTCTTCCTGCTGGAATCATACCCAGTGATAAATGTCTGTCCTCCTAGACCCTCTGTTCATATTTGCCTAAGAATTTGTACCCAAATAATTAAAAATGTTAGTTAAAGTAGAATAAGCATCTTGACACCCTTTAGTCCTTGAACTGCAGTCAATCCCAGCCTTGAAATGCTCACAGAGGCACCATGTGTTTGCAATGTGCTATTTGCCTCATACAGTATGTACGTCATTTTGAACAAAAGCAAATAATAAATAGAAGAGAATGCAAATGTAAATGTCACAGATGCATCAACATCACAGCCCACTAATAAGGTGAATGAAACCACAGTAACCTTAGACATTTTTCAATATATTTTTATTTGACACAGAAAACAACATTTATTTTTTTCCACTGCTTATTGCCAAAGAAATCTACAGTGCATCATATTAACATTGTGTTAAACCAAACAGTCTCATCCTAATCGGTCCAGATCCCCTTACGTTTCGACCTTGTTACCAAATAAAAGGCAGGACACTTTCGATGTCACACCGGCTTAGGGCTTTGCCGTCCTTTGGCAGAGTCCGGCCACAAAGTGGGCTTCTGTAGAAAAGGGAGGACATGGGGGTGGGTCGCATCTACCAAAAGGGGCACCTGGGGGGGGGGGCAGACAAAACAACGATCAGATGTGTTTGTGACTGCCTTCAGCAGGCTGGGTGGGCGACGAGATGGAGATCACAGCTTCCTGCAGCTGTACCTGCGAACAATAACCAAGTCCTTTAGCAAAACACGTCTGTAGGCCCTTGAGCAAGGCCTTTAACCTCCAGCCTCAGGAGAAGCTGCACGATGGTTGGCCCTCGGCTGTGACCACAGAGCAATGAAGAGCAAAATGGGGTAAGTGAAGAGACAAATTCCAATGCACCCGTACTCATTACTGTGTAATGGCCAATTATTATTATACACACATAGTTTACCTGGATTATCATGGCTGTTCATCACCAACTTGTCCCAGTTGCCACTGTAAAGGCTAATGCATACTTCTAAATCGAGCCTATGCCCTGACCTACGCCGCGATCTACGCCCTGACCTACGCCGCGATCTACGCCCTGACCTACGCCGCGATCTACGCCCTGATCTACGCCCTGACCTAAGCCGCGATCTACGCCCTGACCTACGCCCTGACCTAAGCCGCGATCTACGCCCTGACCTACGCCGCGATCTACGCCCTGACCTACGCCGCGATCTACGCCCTGACCTACGCCGCGACCTACGCCCTGACCTACGCCGCGATCTACGCCCTGACCTACACCGCGATCTACGCCCTGATCTACGCCGTGATCTACGCCCTGACCTACGCCATGACCCACGCCGCGATCTACGCCCTGACCTACGCCGCTGTGAGCATTTACACTTGTGTGTCTCTGTCACTTAGCAATGACAATCACCAAATCGCTAGGTGATACAGTTTTGGATGTTGCATTTATCATCGTTCTGCCTTGTGGTATATTCAACTGTTGAATCACTCAATAGACAAAAAAAAATATATAAGTATCTATTTTATATATTTGTGTATATTTTTTAAGAATTTATCCTGTAGATACATTCTTATGCATTTTCCCTTCTAAAGTTAGTATCTGTACTACTTTTTATAATTTTTTTAGTCTTATAAAGTACGAATTAACTTAATGAAGGTAAGTGAAATTGGCGCCGTCGTCCGGAGAGATCTGTAGCCCGGTTGCCATGATCCCCAGGGTGGGTTATTTAATGCTCGATATAAATATCGCTTCACTTTCAATCGGCGATATAAGTACATCTGGGATGTACGCTTTCTTCGCTCCCATAAAAAAAACTAATGCTATCAAGCAGACCAATCACAGTTCTTGCAGTCTGCGTCACCGCGACATGTAGTTACAGGTGCACGTCAAGCTATAGATTAAGCACAGATGTATAAATCAGCCGTAACTTTGTCTCACAGGACTAAAGCAGTCAGAGACTAACTGCGTGCCACAAAGGGTTTGAAATGGCGGCACTGACCATCCGATGTAGCACTGGCACAGGTTTTCGTGTGAGGTGGCCTGTTTGATGAGGAGTTCCACCTGGGTGGGCACATCCAGGGTCTCTTCATGAGAAAAGTCCCGCCCTGGGAGAGAGACAATGCATGCCGCGATCAGGAACCAGACTTGTCTGTACTGAAGAACTGGATCTGATTGGTTTGTGTGACCAGCCAATCACCACGCTCATTAACTTTGCACACCATTTATAGTGAGTCACTTTAATGTCTGACAGGATGTCTGGCATCACACGGTAACTCACCGGTCAGCTTGTCTCGGACTCGGTTGATGATCTGTATGGCTTTTTTATTCAAGGCTTCTGGCTGGACAAGGCCGTCTCCGACTGACATAACAACCACAACAATGACATTTTAGACAACACATTCAGAAAGGCTATTTCACTGACATGTGCCCCCCCCAAAAAATTGCCACACATCATCTTGGCAGCAAATGTATGTGAACTCGCCTCATAAAACTTAAATCACAATCATATAAAAATGTGGTTTAAGTTTAGTACAAAGACCATGTTCATTTTTACGATTGTCATCTACGTTTCATACACAATGATTGTGGTTTAAATTTTATACTATGATCATGTTCAATCACTGTACAAACTGTATAAAACAAATAATCACATAGAAATTAACATGATCACTAATTCAGAACATGGTCATTGTGTTTCAGTACATTCTGTACTTAATACATAGGACAATCCTGAAAATCCACTTCAGATTTATCAGCCTAACAACATGCATTCATTTGAGCTGCACAAACGCTTTTAATCTCTGTGATCTGAGTTTTCAGTACTGTGGGTGTAGCAGACAGAGATGTACATGTGTGCGTGTGTGCAGTGGGGACACCCACTGAAGGAGTGAATAGATTCAGGCACGGTGGTTCCCGGCTTCTTGTGCGTGGTCTCTGCGAGGTTCACGCCGTCCAGGGCCTCTGCAGGGTGAGCGGAGAGTGAAGTGAGCTGAGTGAGGCACAGGTCTGGGCGGCCGTCATTTGGACCGCCGTGTACAGAGCGTGACGAGCGGCAGACTCACCCACTGACTGTCCCGCACTGTACGAGTCCGTTCTGGTGCGGGAGCGCTTGTTCCCTTTGGTGTTCGCTGCGGACAGGCAGGGTGGGTCGTTAGCCGAAGGGAGGACGCGCAGTGTCCGTACGTGCCGGATAGGGCCCCTCCCCCCAAGTCAAGCAGCGGCCACTGTGCTCGTACAATGAGGCCTCCCGCAAATCATACCAAGGTTTGTGTCTCATGCCGCACAGCCGGTCATGTGACGGCCCCTTAAAGCTCATACATGGGTATTTAAATAAGCTAACCTGAAGGGGCAGGTGCAAACAGTACGTCCCTGAGCCGTAGCTATAATCTGAGTCTTTAGGGCGGTGGGATGGCCCGGGGGGGCATACATACTGTCCATGAGCCTCCAGTTGAGCAGAGGGTCGTAGACGAAGGCTTCCAGCACAGCCATGACGCTGTCCCTGTGCTCACGCAGCACCTCCATCACCGTGTGGCATGTGATCCGGTAGTTTCCGTCCAGCCCCGTCACCTGATCCACACATACACACGCAAGCAGTGCCCTGAGGGCTCCACCCCACCGTTACCGAGCCCCCCCAACCCCCACACAGCACTCCAGCCCCACTCGTGTGTCCCTTACCTCCATGGCATTCGTCAGCATCCTCGTGAGTCTGAAGGGGATTTTCTCAGGGAATTTCTCCCTGGTCATGGCAACCTGGGAGTAAATGACAGCTCAGGTAACTCTGGTAGTCCAGGTCCAGGGAGTAAAAGTCCAGACCAAGATTTTATTTCAACCAACCAGTTGAGTATAAAGAGTCACAGACACAAAATTCTCAACTGGTTATGTGAAACAAATTCCTGGTCTGGAATGAACTCCCCACCTCTGCTGGTAAGTCATGTTCCTTATGCCATTCACAGCAAGGTGCAGAGTGTTACCTCGAAACAATCACCAAAGTCGATGTGGAGGATCTTCCCGCTCAGCCGGTCCAACATTAAGTTGGATGGGTGCCTGAGTACAAAAGGACTCAATGTAAGATATTACCACCATGCACTTCCTACCTTGGGCCTCTAGGGGGTGTAGCAGTCAGGGTACTCATGCTGTTCAGCTCTACCTTCTATCAAAAATCTATCACCAATTGGCATAAAACAGAGTTACTGGTGTCCTCACCTATCTCCAAGGCCCAGGATGTAACCCACCATGGACATCACTGCGAGGGAGCGTGTGTAATTGGTCCGTCGGTCAAACCAAACCTGTAGGAGAACCAATTGGCTTTCAGATCCACATGCTGGGTCCAGCACTCCGGCAGATCAGTTAGCTGATCTCTCTCTGTCGTTATTCTCCTACGGACAAAATGGCCACCTGACCTCTGAGCTTGGACTCTTAAGCCACAGCAGCTTGGCCAGGTCATCTCCCGCAGTGTTGTTGACCGCGTGCTCGAACACCTCCACCTTCTCCATCAGTGTCAGGTGGTCGTAGTCAGGGGCCATCTGTGAGGGGGGGAGACAGTACCCAGACCGGGGTGAGAACCCCCAGGGAAGGTGCGTCAAAGCCTCAAACACTGGGGGTAGGAACGAGTCTGAAGGCTGACACCCTGAAGGGACATGCGACTGAGCCCCAGCTACAGAAGCCCAGGCTTTTAGGCTGGACCCCAGGTATTCTGTACAAGGGCCCCCATGTTGCGGAGTCATAGCACCAGACCGCATTACTAACAAACCCCTGCGACAGCCATAAACCCTGCCCCGTTAACGCCTGTGCCCACAGGCCCTGCGGTTCCGCTAAAGGATCCAGTCATATCTGGACAGAGGAGAGTCTGCTATAGATCTGACATATAACTTCCATTCAGCCGCGATGGACAGCAGATGCATCGGTCCTGCCCTTCGGGCCCCGTACCCTCAGCATGATGCGATGCTCGATGTTCAGCAGAATCTTCTTCTTCTCCCGGTAGTCCCTGATCAGGGCGTGCAGTGTGTCGCAGTGAGGCACCCAGCCGATCAGGCCCGAGTTGGTGGACAGTGGGATCACTGCGTAGCGCTGGATGCTGAGGGAGAGCACAGAGAGGCGTGACGGGCTCTTTTTTAACAACTACCTACAGGCCTCTGTGACAAACTGGCAGCGGGGGTTAATGAGTGAAAACGGAGAGCCTAGAGGTTGCAGGTAAAATCCCAGGGATGGACCTGATATTGAGCCCACAGTCAAACATGAAGCCCACGAGTGGAGCCAGCCGGCGGGTCCCACCTGAGGTTCTTGCGCAGAGAGGCAGGGTCGTTGGCCAGCAATGTGTTGACCAGCCCGAAGAGCTGCATGACCCTCTCGTCCTGCCGCAGGTCTTCGTGGCCCTTGAGCAGAAACATGAACTCGTGCCCATTGCTGCCTGTAGGGGGCCAAAGGGGGAGGGGGGGGCATTATGTGGGAGTGTAAGCATGCTGAGAGGGGTGTCCTGGTGGCGACATGTAGACTGGGGACACCAAGAAAGCATCACTGAGGAAACATGCTGAATGACAGCACAGGTCTTAGACATATTTTACCATAAACCACACAGCTGATGTTCACCAGAGTTTCCTGTTCCACAGTAATGCTGTTATAAAGCTGAAGTCCATCTTCGTTGCTGCATTCCACACCGCTATTGGTCATGTTTGTGTCCTTTATTCCACAGCCTGACATCCTGCCATGTCAAGCACCAGTTAGCCTCCAGTGCAGCCGAAAAGAAGCTTCACACTAAGTGATGGGTGTCACTGTACGCTCTCACTGCCCACTCTGATCCACCTGCCAGGATTCATCTACGGGCTCCCATGGGCATAACACAGACGCTGCAGCGTGCAGTAACCCCACCCATGGTGGGTTATGAAGCCTCGTCACCAGTCATTTCAGCAGAGATTTGACACCTATATGCAGATGGGGACTCGGGGCTTACAGGAGAGCCCCCTCCACGGTGCGCCAGGGACTCGGGGCTTACAGGAGAGCCCCCTCCGCGGTGCGCCGGGGACTCGGGGCTTACAGGAGAGCCCCCTCCGCGGTGCGCCGGAGAGTCGGGGCTTACAGGAGAGCCCTCTCCTTGGTGCGCCGGGGAGTCGGGGCTTACAGGAGAGCCCTCTCCACGGTGCGCCGGGGAGTCGGGGCTTACAGGAGAGCCCCCTCCACGGTGCGCCGGGGAGTCGGGGCTTACAGGAGAGCCCTCTCCACGGTGCGCCGGGGAGTCGGGGCTTACAGGAGAGCCCNCTCCACGGTGCGCCGGGGAGTCGGGGCTTACAGGAGAGCCCCCTCCACGGTGCGCCGGAGAGTTGGGGCTTACAGGAGAGCCCTCTCCTTGGTGCGCCGGGGACTCGGGGCTTACAGGAGAGCCCCCTCCACGGTGCGCCGGAGAGTTGGGGCTTACAGGAGAGCCCTCTCCTTGGTGCGCCGGGGAGTCGGGGCTTACAGGAGACCATTTTTACAGCACTGTGTCCCCATCACTGCACTGGGGCATTGGGACCCACACAAACCACCGGATGGGCTAACCTGTTGGCTACAGTGTCCCCATCACTGCACTGGGGCATTGGGATCCACACAGACCACAGGATGGGCTAACCTGTTGGCCACACCAACACCTCTTCCAGCAGCAAACCAACATTCCTAGTTGGTCTCCCATCCAAGTACTGGCCAGGCCCAAACCTAATTAGCTTCAGGTGGATTACATAGCCTGCACTGCGATGCTTTGCCCTGCTTTACGGTTACTGATAGACTGGCTTCCTGTCCACATCGTGAACTTCCATGCACCATGCTCAGACCACATTACACTGCAGAACACTACACGCCCTCACTGGATAACAGATTTATTTGTCAGTATTACACATCAAAGGTTTTCTGAGAACTGGAGCCTAGTCAAATGTACAACAATCCCAGAAGCATGGCTTCAGTGAAACTGCGGCAGAGCAGAGCAGAGCAGCCCCGCCCTTAAAAGAATGCCAGCAACGATGACTAAGACAGGTGTTGGCACCTCCTGAGAGACTGAGCCAGCGTGCCGTTAACACCACCTTCAGCTTTCAGCCAGATGTTTGCTTCTGTTCTGACACATGCACCTGATCACCTGCCAGTGCCTAGAAGCATAAAATATCATTTCATCATCTTCAAAGCTGGCATTTGTCATCTTGAGAGGGACGCCTGGCATCTGGCCCTCAGCCCACAGCCATCAAACTCTCATCAGGCCAGTTTGCTCTGCATTCTAGATATTCCGTTTATGTGAATTAAGATGTCAGCTGTTAGATAACTGCAGATTCAGCAGTTCCCGGTGGGAGCATTCCATCGCATAAAAGTCACATAGCTACTGAATCGAAACAGATGCTGAAGACCTCAGGAGCTTCTGAGGAGCTTCTCAGCACCACTGTAGCACCTCCTTACCCATGATGGTGAGCTTGCGGGGTCGCTGCTTGGAGGTGATGACCTGCAGCGAGGGAGCGATGGACTGGATGCGGATGATGGCCTGGTTGGGGTCGTAGGTGCCGGGTACGGCCAGCTCCAGGTCTCGGCACATCAGCAGCTTGGGGGAGACGTACTGCAGCTCCAAGGAGGTGAGCTGGGGTGAGGGGGGACAGGGGGAGGAGTTGGGGCGGTGTATTAGTGCCAATACGTCTCCCATGAGCCTGAGGGCAGCTGCCAGTTGTATTGTTCTGCATTTCTTGGCAAGAGCACCGATATCAAGTAAGACGACAGTTATGTCTCAGCACAGATGGGCTTGGATCTACCTGACTCAGGGGAAAAAAGTACCTTGATAATTTCCATGGAACTGGCATCTACTCCCAAAGCCTTATCACTGGGTTAAAAAAATACAGGTGGAGCTATTAGGCAATGAACAAATGTGAGCCTTGGAGATGAGTGAGGCCCACCTGTGAGCGAGGCCCACCTGTGAGCGAGCCCCATACCTATGGGCTGTGGCCTAGCCCAGCGCTGTCAGGTACCCGACAGGCACCCTCACCTGTGGCAGCTGCTTGGAGATCCTCCTGAACACATGGTAGTAGAGGTCCCAGGCTTGTGTTAGGTCCTTCACGTTGCCTGAGCGCATGTACTTCCTGCACCAGTCCTGGGCCTCCATCAGGTCCCGCCCATACGCCTGGGGGGGACACACCCACACTTCTCAAATGCCCCCCCTCTCTCAACAGCTGTTTCAGTCATTTTGACAATATGCAGTTTCTTGCATGTTTCTTCTGTGTGTGGCACAAATGTGCCTTACACATCACATCTAGTGGGGCTCTACCATCGAGCGGAGAAAAAGGGAGCTTCCAACAAAATCTGTGCAGCTCCTTTGGAGTGGGGGGGTGTACCTGGTTGAAGGACGTCTCCTTGAGGGTCTGGGGACCCCTCTCCATCATGGCGTGCAGCGGCTCCAGCACAGCAAACATGCCCTTCACGTTGCGCTCGCCGAAATAAAGGCGAGACGCCTCCTCCAGGCCCTCGTGCCACATCTCATGCCAGAGGATGGCCACGCGGATCAGCTCCTCGCTCACCTACGGGGGGCGCCCAAAGCACGTGAATGTCTGACAGGCTAAAGGAAGAGAGACATGGCCTGCTGTGCCAGTGTCCTGTGTGTGTGTGACTCACCATAATGGCCTGCTACACCAGCGTGTTACACTGTGAACAAAAGACGGCCTGCTGTGCCAGTGTCCTGTGTGTGTGACTCACCATAATGGCCTGCTGCACCAGCGTGTTGCAGTGCTCGCACATGTTCTTCAGGATCTTGTTGGCTGCGTTGTGACGCGCTGTGGTGGTCGATTTGGAGGCCACAGTCAGGGGGTAGATCAGAGCCTTAGGGGCGATGCGGGGAAGGAGAGACAATGCAGGCAGGCGGAATGAGTACAGGGTGGGACTATACATAATCACTGAGACGTGCGCAGACACACACACACACACACGCACACACGCACGCACGCACACACACACACACGTGCACGCACGCACGCACGCACACTCACGTGCACGCACGCACGCACGCACACACACTCACGTGCACGCACGCACGCACGCACACACACTCACGTGCACGCACGCACACACGCATATCTGGGATACTTAGAGCAATGTCTGGTCACACGCACATGCATGTGCATGCACACATACTTCTCTGAGACACTGACAGTACTGTCTGGTCACACACACACACAGACAGCACATACATACCTGCGGGTGGTAGCGGCCAATGTCGGTGAGGAGCTGGTGGATGAGACGGCCCACCAAGGCGCGGGGGGTATCTATACGTGCGATCAGCTGGGGGATCACCTGTGGGGGGGTGGGGCGGCACAAACCGGTACATTCAGCCTCCCGGCACGGAAAAGTATTCTGCTCTGAAGAAGCCTGTGGCTACATATCCCCTTTCTCACGCTGTGGAAAATCTGAGTGTGTATTTATAAGAATGAGCTAATTCCTCAAACACCTGGACCACAGCACCCTGGGTGTCCCCCTTGGGGGGAGGGTACGCTGCTGCTGTCCCAGCTTTGCCGTGGGGGGGGGGGGGCAGCCAGTGGGCACTAGTAAGACTAAGATTTATGTAGTTCTTAAATTTTTTATTCTCTGGCAGGAGTCTTCATATGTGTGTCATGCAAATATTGTTTGAGGTCGTGAGATGAAACAGCGCTAGACAGAGAGAGAGTGAGAGACTGAGGGAGAGAGTGATAGAGTGTGAGGGGGTGAGAAACAAGGTGAGAGAGAGTGAGAGCGCGAGGGTGCTCACCTGCAGCCAGGTGTCGATCTGGATGGTCTTGATGCCCTCGACGAGGGCTTCGTTCACCTCGGGCCAGTGGCCGTAGTCAAACCACAGTGTCAGGACCCTAAGAGGAGAGGGTTACATGCTCAGTGCAGGCAGTAGGTAACCCAGAGCGTGTGGTTGCCTCTCTCCTTAGTGTGATACCCTTATACACACTCCAGCTCCCTCCTTTGGAAGGATAACGGCATCAGCGTCACTCCGTCCCCATTATCAGCGTTTTAGATACAAGGGAGGACACCCAAGACATCCCTGTCAGTGTAGCACTGCGCTGAGGGGAACTAATCATGGGAAGATGTTACTGACTACAAGGCTTCTGCATGGACACACAGCGAGACATTGAGGGTGTCTGTCAGGGTGGGGCGGAGCTGAGGGTTTGAGGCTAAATCTTGCAACATGATGCCTGGCCACTAGGGGTCACCCTTCCTACACAGGCCCTTCAGCCCTTGAAGCACAAGAGATCCACTTTAGAGGTGAGTGCAGTTAATTTTCTCATAATTCCTGTTCATGAGGGCTTTTAATGCATTAAAAAAAAAAAACACTATATCCAAAAATCATAGTTTCGTTTGAGATCTTGACAGCTGAAAGATGGATATTCTGCAGCTGCTCAGAATGCCCCCCCCCCCACCCTAAAACCTCTCCTTACCTCAGGGTGTCCTGCAGGTTGTTTCCACGGGACAGGGAGATGGAGCGGAAGAAGCCCTGAACGGCAGGCACAGTGTACAGGAGCAGCGTCTTGGACAGGTCCTGGGGGTGGGGGGTTCAAAGCAGAAGGTCATCATGTGACCCCAACCATGTGACCCATACCCCCACCGCCAATGGCCACAGGGTTGTCAGGGTCATTAAACATCATCCTGCTCCAAAACGGCAGCACCTGGTACTCCAGGGGATTGAGGCAGCAGGATGGAACAATGCAAGCAGCCCTGAGCGGCCGCGCCGAAGAGCCCTACCTCGTTGACGGCCTTCTGCCCGGGGGAGGGCAGGGGGCTGTGCTCGGCGCTGTCGGCCTCGCTCTCGCTGTCGCTGGCGCCGCTCGCTCCGCTGGCGTGTCTCAGCTTCTTCTCGTCGCGGCCCTGGTTCTGGTGCTTGTAGTGCAGCACGGCCTCGAAGTTCATCACGGCCCAGGCGTGCCAGGCCTGCGGCAGACACACGCGTGAGGCCTGCGTGCCCCCCCCCCCGTCCCCTGCCCACTCCCCGGCCCCTGCCCCTGCCCGCTCCGGGCCCCTGCAGCTCACCTTGTACCAGCTGCGGTCGTGCTCGGTGGAATGGCTGTAGTACTGCAGCACTTTGGGGATGGTGCTCTCGTTGATACCCTGCAGACTCAGCTGCCACTCGCCCAGCTTCAGGAAGCACCTGGGAGGGGCAGCAATACAGTCATCGGGGAGCTAGAAATGCTCACCCCCCCCCTTCGAGGATCACAATCAGATTTAAAACAAAACCTGAAAAGGCTTTCAGATGTATCCTGATGCTTTTACCTACGGACGATTCAGACTGAAAGACACAGCACACCGTTTCACTAAGAGAACAACACCAGGCGGAGCATTCTAAGGCTTTTCAACAGGCTGCCCCCCAACAAAAAAAAAAACAATGGCAGTCAGGTCACAGAACTCCATTCCCCTAAAACCATCCTTCGTTTTACTTTCATCGAGCCAATTAAGAGACTGTTTAGGCTTCATGTCTGGCCTTGGGAAGCGTCCCGAACCGCTCCAAAGAGCACATTATCCCCATTACTATACGCAAAAGTCCCATTTCTCAAAGCTGGTCATTAGACAGCCTACAGATGTGGACCCCGGACGATTTAAAGGAAGGTAAACAGTTTGAATTAAATTGACAATAAAACCGACTCGGCACTATGTCATAAGTTACTGAAGGTCAGAATCCATCTTAGTCAAGCCCTCCTAGTCGACGGTGGAATGCTCTGGAAATAGTTTTGTGGGAAACCAGGTGTGCATGTGTGTGCGGGGCCCGCCTACAGTGACCCGACTGTGCCAGCAGTCAGAGACGTCGGCGGTCCGCCTGTAACCGGTGTTCAGCGGGCACGGCAGCGGGCACAGTGGGTATTCAGCAGTTAAACCACAGGCAGCGCTACCGTCTCCTTCCGCCAGGCACTTAGACCATATGGATAAATGAATGGGTACAAGTATCAAAACCATAATGGCTGCTGAAGGAGTGAATACCTCACAGCAACGCCTGGGCAACACAGAGTACCGGAACCAAGGGCTGGATCAGAACCCACTGGCGCCCAGCCATGCAGAAGCTGCACTGGAGCGCAGAGGGAAGCCACCTGCCAACACACGGCCTTCAATGAGACTTTGCCAGGTCAGGACTGGCTGGCCAGCGTGGCCTTTTTTGGGCTGCCGGCTGAAGAGGGGCCACTGCCTTAAGGGTAAGCTGTCAGGGAGGGTGCCCACAATGGTGGCCCACACACTGCTAACCCACAAACCAGGAAATGGATTTGCAGCGACCTGAGTACTGGCAGCAGCTGTCATGTGCCATTCCCGGCCACTCAATAGCGCCCTCTGCTGAGCGGATATGACTGCTGACGTGGGTATGGACCTGCAGTTCTCCTTCTGCTTTGATGTTAACAGCAGCTAAGTTATGGGGGACTGGCTGGGTGAGCATTACGGTTATCTGTAGGCTGGGTGCTGCTTTCGTGCACTGCCATGTCTAGTCCTTGTGTCACTTTAGCACTTTGTGTTGTGCAGTATGTAGTATACTGTCTAATCGCTGTGTGAATGTTGTATGTAAAGTAGACTGTTTAGTACAGGGGTGGCAAACTGCTGTGGGTGCAGGTTTTTGGGGTGACCTCTCAATCAGCCAATAATAAAGCAGTGGTTCTCAACTCTACTCCTGGGATCTGTTACTGGCTGATAGAGGTCATCCCAAAAACCCAGACCGGCCCTCCATGGATCAGGTTCGCCATCCCTGGCCTAGTACATGTGTACATGCTAGCATGTTACAGTATACTGTGAATGTATAGGGAGATGATATTTCATCCCAGATGTACACATTTATATCAATGGATTGACGATAAATACTTCTTGAATATCTTGAATCCTGCCAGAGCCCATAACTAATCTGCTTTAAAACCTGATACCTGGGGTCCGATAAACCTGACATGCTTATGCAGTGAATCTCGGACCAGGAGCACAGAAACCAGGAGCCCCTTCTGACCCATAACGATGCTGTTGATCAGAACCCATGATGCTTTGCTTACACATTCATGCAGCATGAATGTCTGCCTTTACCACCACAAAGGCACTGGGGTGACACTGTGATTGCTACCCCCCCAGTAGCATCAAACAGGGATGGGGGGTGAAAACAGCAGCGCCGGTGATGAAGAAGAGGATGATGATGATGATGATGATGAAGGGTGGCCAGGTGCAGGACGCTCCTCTCACCGGGCCATGAGCTTGTGCAGCTCCTGCTTGTGTTGCTGGTCGTCAGCGGCGACGGCATGCTGTGCCTGCTGCTGCATGCTCTGGACGAAGTGCTGCATGTGTTGGAATGCATCGATCTGTGGGCGGGGGGGGGCGGGGGTGCATGAGGGTGAGAGGTTACAAACCGTGCACACACAGGGCAGCGGACCACATCACACCCCCCACGCGCTAACGGCGAATCCACACAGTCGGTGCCACGTTCCATCTCACAGCAGCTGTTTCGGGTCAGAGCCCTTCTGGACCGACGGCTAGTATGCACACCTGGCTGAGCCGCATAACCTCAGCAGGCCTGTAGGGGGCAGCTGAGGCGACCTCCCGTGTTCAGGGCCTGTGTTAGCGAGACGCATGTTTCCCCTGCAGACCAGACCTCAGAGATCCAGCTCTACCGACCAGGTGGGCTTCTCCTGTGGGGCCCCCCAGGGGCCGTTGTGCAGACCCAGACAGATTGACCGGCTTCTCCGGATCGTTACGCGTGATGAGAGAGCACCAGCGGGGCCACACGTTTTAATAATCTGACAGCGTCTCGAGACTCAAGACAACTGCTTTGCATCATCGTCAGTGCACTCCGTCTGCAGTCAGAGATCTGTGACCACCGTGTCCATTACTCTTCTGCTCGGGTTCTGATGATGACAGCCATGACGTCTGGGCCGTCTGAGACCACGCCTGCTTATGTGTGAGATCTTTGCATTCTCCTCTCTGCGGGGGGGCATCCTGAAGCCTCGGTAATGTTGGAACCACATGTTTTTAAGCTAAACCATGCACCCCCGAATCGGCAGCGGCTCACAGGGGCCTACCTTGAGCGTGCTCTTCCACATATACTTCATGTAGGCGTAGGTGACGTGGGGGTGAGCCGTGGGCAGAGGGTGGTCTAGCTGCTTGGAGGGGTCCACGCCCAAGAGTAGCACCAGAGTCTTGTGTGCCAGCGCCTAGCGTGTGCGGGAGATGAGGTAAGTGTTCCACCCAAACATTCCACCCACATCATCCTGCCTTCCCTTTTAATTTTTTGTTTTACAAGCCCGTCTGAAGTCGTTTCCGATGCCTGTGTAAATAACTAGCTAAATGCCTTGGGGAGAGGGACAGGGGGGGGGGAGTGAACCGCAGACCCCCCAAGGATGGGCCCGTCTTTCTGGGAGCCCGGGGACCCACTGTGAGATAATGTGTTACTGGTAGATCTGACCAGGGCCACGGCCCAAGTTTCCATTGACACACTGGAACCAGGACGATCGCACTCCATAATATTTACACACAGGAAATAAAAATCTGGGCTCGTCCATAAACAAGCATGTCTCCCTGTCTAAACAAGATCAAGTCACACAGCCGCACGGCTCCATTTAGAAGCATGAGTCCAGCCGCACATCCCCCCCCCATCACAACAGCATGAGAGAACTATGGCACAGCGAAAGGTAAACCTGCTTGCAAAGAAGAATAAAAAACCTATAATACCTAAATTGCAGATTTAGACCCCGCAGGCCTGCATCCATTCAACATCTTAACATGCATTTCCATTCTATTTTCATCGGCTTTCCATCACGCCGAGCTGACTCACCAGGCGGCCGCTCTTGCCACACAGGCTGGCGTACTTCAGCCAGGTGCGCATGTCCTCGTGGGGGCTGATGACCAGCGAGCGCACCATGAGGATGCGCTGCCAGTCCTCCACCATGCGCTGGCAGCCCTGCAGGGGGCGGTCAGGCACAGGGTGAGCGGCGTGCATGTTTACCCAGCGCTGTGCTAAACTCACATTCACTAACACAGCAGCAGAATATGCCAATCTAATAGAAATCTAACAGACGCTAAATTAAAAAATAAAAAATTGACGCTTATTCTAAAAGCTGGATAACATCTTTCAGACGAGCATATACCCAAACCTACTGGTAAATCAAACTAACCCCCCCGCCACACACAGGCCAGCCTTTGGGCTACTCCACACGGCCCAACAGACTAACATCAATCAGCCCACTGAGGCCTTCACACTTTCTGCCTTCATAAATCTAGGATCTCGGAGAACTTAAGGGCAGTCATAGCCCGCAGATGGGAAAACATCCTTCTGTTGCTCTGGTATCCAGGCAACGGGAGGAGCAATACCTCCTGACCTGCCCCCATAAACACTAGTCAAAGACGTGCTTAGATGGCCTCCTCCGGCACTCACCTGGAGCCTCTCCCACCAGGTCTCTCGGATGATCTCACGGCGTTCTGGGACCAGCTTGTACTGGATCACTTCCTCCAGCTCCGACAGCATCTGGCAGGACACCATGGCCTGCAAGCAAACGTGCAACCAAGAGGTGACCAAGGGGCCCCATGCCAGTGCAAACAGAAACAGGCTCTCTCACCGGCTTACCCCATACGCCCGACTGTAGCTCTCCCCGGCCATGGCGGTCAGCTCCGCATCCAGCAGATCTCTGGCCTTGTCGATGCACTGATATCAGACACAGAGATACGATGGTTACCCAGTGAAGCACTTTGCATGTACGACTCCTGCTGGAACCTCAGGCCCTAAAGAGTGAGCTGGAGGCTGCATCCCATCAGATCTGAGTCCGGAACCTTAAAGTGCAGATACTTAACACTTAAACTGTCCTTAAAACACATTCCTCCAGGCAAAAATCACAATCTAACCCCCTAATTTCTACTACAAGTCTTTGCCCTGATTTTTGTTATTCTGAGAACTGATTTATTAATCAGGAACCCACAAACTGTGGCCCTACATGAGGTGACACTCATTTTATGACCCTGCAGAGTGGCCTAATTCATATCTCAATTTGAATGACCCTGTGTACTAATCTGATCCCAGACCTCACCTCTGTGGATCTGCAACCTGCAACCATTTCAGAGCAATTCCTAAAGCATCAGATCAGCCCAGCTCCCAATCAGATCAGCCCAGCTCCCAATCAGATCAGCCCAGCTCCCAATCAGATCAGCCCAGCTCCCAATCAGATCAGCCAAGCTCCCAATCAGATCAGCCCAGCTCCCATGCGAGACACTCAGCCATCGGTCACATTAGGGACTCCCAGCCCTTTAATGTCTGTGGACTGGTTTACGTCGTACAACAATTACATGGACCAGTGCAACTTCTCGCCCAGGGGTGGTGGGGGGCTGGAGGGGGGGGGCAATGCTGGCAGATCTGCAATTTTATAAATTTAATCGTTTTTTCCTAATGGTTTAAAGATATATTGTTTTTTTTTGGAAATGAACCAACCCCTCCCCCAAACCTCTATCATTCTGCAGCAGGTGGAATGCTAGAGCAGACTGCTTCAGAACCCCTACGTTCGATAACATCAGTCAGCTAATCAGTAGCTTGGTCTACTGCTGATGACCAGGAGACACAGCATCTGATAGCCACTGGCATGGCAAGGAGTATGTGAAGCATTAACATGTACAACATCTTCCAAACCACAGGTTAGAATCGCATAAACTACAAAAGAAGCCGTACTGTCATTATCATCAGAATGCATGAGGTAAACAGAGTCCACAAAGTCTGAACACAAAAGCGTTACTCATACACGTTTAGATCTGAGCCAGAAAGGCCTCTAGGAAGGTTGGGAAAGCAAGTCTTAAGAGGATAAGCAGAGCCCCTGCCAATCCACCATCTTCAGCTCATCTGGTCTCTGCAAGTATTCAAGGAGATTGGCTCCTTTCTCTCATTCTTAAAACATTACGTCAAAATCTGCGCACAGAGCCTCACAGTGCAGGAACCGGCACAGCAGTGTGGATCTGAGCCACCACGACACACTTGGGGCTGTGCTTTAACCTGCTGTGGGAAGGCCTGACAGCCTGTGTTGTAGTACTCGAGTCCGGTCTCGAGGCGACTTCTGTCTTGTCTTGAAACCGAAAGCATTTCTACTCAGCCTGGAATGAGACCGGAGCAGGGGTGTCCAACCAGTCAATCACGATCGACAGTGTTTCCAGGTCAATCACAAGAGTTATAGATAATGCTTTTATTTCACTGATGGCCAACAGGTTGATCACAATTGGCAGAATATACCAAAGGGTTCTACCCCCCCGGAAAATATACCATCATGATTGAGGAGCTTTTCTTTTGCATGGTGACCAGAAAGTCCATGTCAGGGAGACACTTTGAGCCACTTCAGATTTTACAAGCTACCTTAAAACTGAAAGACTCCTCTGCTTGGCTAAATAGTTTAGCTCTTGTACTTTGACTTCTTTGTTTCCTTGATTGAAAGACTCCTCTGGCTGTCTCACATTAACATTAGTGACACATGCACAGGAGACTGACCAATCAGCACACAGCAAGAACTCTGTGCCCAAGTGATATCCAGGTCCTTTTAATTGAAATGGTAGATTACAAACCCTGTCCTAGCGTGTAATGTCCTCCCTGACATAGATTATCTGGGTCTTTTGTTCTCAGTAGCATATTCTTACTGGAAGTTCCAGCACAGCAGTTCAGGTTAAGCAGGTCTCCTCAGCAAAGCTGACCTTCCGGAAGCCGCAGCTAATGCTGACAGGCAGGTGGGTTCTCAGCGAGCACCTCATCCACGCTTCTATTTATATTCTACCCTGACAGACTCTGAAAATAAAGGCGTCTCACAGATCACGCTGTGAACCCCTGGCATAAAAATCTCATTCATTTGTTTAGTTTCCATCCATTGATCCATCTTTCATAACTGCTTCCCCAGTGCAAGGTTTGGTGAGCCTGCAGTTGATTCCAGCAAGACATGCCAGGCTGTCACAGGATAATTTGAAGATGTCAATCCACCTAAAACGCAAGTCTTTTGATCACGGAAGGAAGCCCACACACACACGGGGAGCACACACACACACACACACACACACACACACAGACACACAGACACACACACACACACACAGACACACACACACACACACACACACACAGACACACAGACACGGGGAGAACACACACACAGACACAGACACACATACACACACAGACAGACACAGAGACACAGACACACACACAGACACACACACACACACAGACACACACACACACAGACACACACACACACAGAGACACACAGACACACACCCTTTCAACCCCTAACCCTGAAGGTATGAGACTACAATCCAACCCACAGACTCCAACACACTGTTTAAACTGAATCTGGCTGAACGGCCTGGGGAGTTGGCTGCTGGGGCGGCCATTATGGTACCTCAGGGCATAAGGTGCAGAGAGTAGACAGCACAGGTGCTGACAAGCGCTTCTGTTTACAGCGACAGGCGCCTACTGCTCTGGATGTATTCATGTGGCAGCTGCACTCATTCATCAAGCAGAGGAGATATGGGGGGGGGGGAGCCACATGGCCGGAAATGCATGCACACTCACCTGCTGTGCCAGAGAGAAGAGGTCCTGGTGCAGTGCCAGCACAGCCCTGTAGAAGGCGCCATCGTGCGTGTCTCTGGGAATCATGCAGGTATACTCCTCCATGCTATCCCAGTGTCCTGGTCACATGACATCGTTAGAGAGTAAAACAACTACATGAGTGACCTGCTCTCACAGGATCGTGTGCAAAGAAGAATGAAAAAATCTCTATGATTGCTCTGTGGTGAATACTGGACCGTATATTAGTTAAAATGACACAGCACTGCAAACCATACTGACTTATATATTTGCCACTGGAGCCCTGGGTACAGACATATGTAAAGGGGTGAGGGGGGCAGCAGGAGTTCAGACGACCGCCACATGGGGCGCTGTCCCCACTGATCATCGTCAGTGCAGGCCTGCTCATGGGAAAAACTGGCATGCGCAGCCTACAGGAGAGCATGCGCAGTCCGTGCGCAGCGTGAGCACCGCAGTTTTCAGCAGGAACAGAAGTTTAAGTGTTTATAAGACTTTGATTGTTTCCGGCCGCTGGTCTGCTCTGCTCTCCCGCAGCTGGGAATCTGCTCGGACATTACAACGATCCCGGAGATTAAACGCTGCAGCTCACTGCTCACGCGGCTGCTGGACAATGGTGCCACTGAAGCCAAGGACTAAAACATAATGCATTAATATCCATTGATGTTGGGGACAGTTGGACGTTTCCCCATAGGCAGTGACTTGGGGCCCCCAGGACTTTGGTCTGGGGGTCGTGACCTCAGGCATGGGCCCATCTTTCAGGATCAGCCTAAACCACACACTGGGTCATTTGGGTGGGGGGCACAGCAAGCCAGCATGCACCAGGCCTTTAGGGCCTTTCCAGTTTATGATTCCTCTGCTTCTGAAAGCCGACCGGGGGGGGGGGGTCCCTTTCACCCCTTCACACCAGAGGACGTGCAGATTGGTAGCGATCGTGGGCATTCAAGGCAGTCGTGTGGTTGCAGAAGCAGACAGACAAGTGAGCGTGGCCTCACCCAGGCCCCAGGCCGCTGCAGCAGCCATCCTCGCCATCTTGGCCTGGGTCTCCTCGCTGACCAGGGTCCATTCCTCACAGCACTGCTGGTGCAGCTGCCCCCTGGGAAAATCACGAGCAGCCAATCAGAACTCGCCGAAGAAGGACAGACGGTCATAAGCCTCAGCAACTCTATATTTAATGCTGTCTAAAGTGAGACTAACCTGGTATGTCAATAACAGTGACCACCAAACACCATTAAACCAGCGATGAAATGTATCACTTCCTGATAGCCGAAATTCCAGCTTAAACAGTTTGGCGTGGAAACGACACGCACAGCGTGTACCATGTGGGCCGTGCGGGGGTGGGGGTCGTCGAGAAGCATCAGCTCGTATTACTATTATGACATAACAGGAGCGGAGGCCGGGGCTGTGGGGGTGTGAAGCGCTTCTCCAGATGCCTGGCCCAGACACGAGGCCCGGGGGGGGGGGGGGGTCACAAAACACAGACTCCCCCATGGCTCTGACCGTCGGCATCTGAGCATGACAGCACGTCTGCTGGAGGGACGAGGGAAGCCCCAGCTTTAACATAGGCCCTCAAATGCACCATCACTCCAGAAAAGACCGGAACCTTCCCATCGTTACCAGAATACCTCAGATCAGCACCTTACGCACAGAGAACCCCCGCTCTGTCATGGGAAATCCATAGGCGGGTCTGACGGCGGTCTGGCCTCTCAATAACCCCCCCTCGCCTTCCATCTGCTTTTAGCATGTTACAGGAGACAGCATTCTGAAAAGCCCTGAGGGAGGAATTCCTGCTGTCCGGCGGGGGCCTCGCGGGAGCTCCCAAAACCCCCCCGCAGACGGGCTCAGCGCCGCCCACGTCTCTCTGCTGCCTGTGCTGGGCAGCATGATTATTATTAGATCCACACAAGCCTTGACAAACAGTATTAAATGGCGCCACATCTGAAGCACTGTTTTGACATTTTAGACATCGCTAAAGCCAGTAAGCATCTCGCTGAAGGGTCCTGCAGGGAGTGCAGACGGGATCCTTTGGCGGCACGGATGTGCAGTAATATTATAACTTGGAAATCCTAAAACAGCCATCAAACCAAACTGGAACGGCTGCTTCTTTAGGCTTCGTATGATTATTCTGTTAAGTGCTGAAAAGAATCGCAGCCTCTCTCGATTTTTAACAGCCGTATCGCCTGCGGGGGGGGGGGGGGGCTGAACCCCAGCAGAGACGATGAGCTCATGCATGGCTTATAGGCGTATAAACGCTTTCGCACAAGGGGAGGGGGTGTCACTGCCTTCCGACGAACAGCGAGTCCAGCACTGCTGGGCCATCAATCCTATGATCTCTACAATTGGCACAGCGGGTGTTAAGCTGGCCGGATACTTAAAAAAAAATCCATGGAATTGTCGTCGTTTTAGCGGTGATCACCGTTTCCCCGAGAAGGAACTTTTTCATTCGATCCCACCCACTGTCCATGACTGGCTGACATAAACATGCTGTGCTGTTGGTGAGCAGGGTTAATTATGCAGCTACAAGCACGCTTTGTACTGCATCGCACAAATCTTTAAATAGTGTAAATTTATATGTGTATTTGTGCATTTATGTTGTAAACAGTAAACGGCATCAACATGTAATGTTTTCCGTTAGTGTGTAACTGAGTGTCGTTTAAATTGTTGGCTTCCCAGTCTGTGCCGCTGCTGGTATTAAAACAGCAACGGCTGTTAATAAAGAGAGCAGCTTCATATCCTTCAGTAAAATGTCACACACTTTCCACGATACGTTTATTTGCGTTCCGTTTGTGGGTCTGCTGCATTGAAAACATTCTATGCCCTCCAGGGTTGTGGTGCGACACCTAACGAATGAGGGGACGACGTCGTTTAAAGTATGTGACAGATTGTCGTCAGAGATGGGTTGGATTTTGTTTTTGTTTGGACGTTGTTTGAAGTTTGCAACCAACTTTTAGGGCAAATGGTGGTAAATTCAGGGAACTTCAATTTCCCTATTTCTGTCTGAGAATAAGGGCCAATTACAGGAATCTGCCCCCTTCTCTTTGTTCTTTGGTATATGTCTGGGCATTAAGGGGCTGTGATGTCAGATTATATCTGTGCATTGCACTAAGGAAACGCGATGACATCAGCGGAGATCCGGCGGATTTAGACCAGCGACCTGTCCGCCCACTCCAAGTCCCAGTTCATTCCCACTGTTCTTAATCACCCTGTCCATTCACTCCTGCCAACCCCCCCCCAGCCCAGGATCTTCATACATAAAGAGCGGAGGATTAAACAGACGCTGGAGACAAACGCCACAGTCTGGAACACATTTGATGGGCAGCAAAAAAAAAATTAATCACTGACTGTCAAACAATGACAGATTCCAGGTTGGGTAAGCAGTGGGTGCTGTCTTGTGTTTAGATTTTCCAGTAACATTTCTGGCCAGATAGGATATTTTTCCCCAGTTGTCTCATATGAAAAGCTGTCACTTTAACAATGTTTATTTTTACTGTACTTTTTTGTTATGCCGTATGTCCATGCCTAGATTTTATGTCGTAATATGTGATGTTCATATACTATTTCTTACCTTGTTGCATCTGACCAATGAGAAATGATATTTAATCTCTGCGTATGGTGGTATCACACCTAAGCCAGAATGCTGAGTTGCCGCCTCGGCCCCATGCATACGGCGCAGTCACCTAGCCGGGCTGCGGGAGCTGGGCCCGGACGCTCAGGCGCTGAGCCGCACTCACCACTCGCCCAGCGCTTCCAGGCACCGCATGCGGCCCAGGATCAGCTCTGGGTCCTCCTTGTTTATGTCGATTTTCTTGTCGTAGGCCACCAGGGCATCCTCCCACTCGTGCAGCTTCTCGTACCACGTGGCCTGGATCTCCTGTTCACGGGAGAGAGCGCAGGGAGCACTTCAAGCTAGACGCTGTCCCCGCGGTGCCAGGTTATAAGGACCAGAGGATGGGTACCTGCTACAGGTGCTGCTTGCTACCTAATCGGCACTAGAGCCACTAAATGCAGACGGTTATGACCCAGAACAGCTGGATCTCACCCCCACCCCGGTCCACTGCCCCCTGCTGGACACACTGAGGCATACACATCACGGTGAGGCCTATGTCAGTGTGTCAGATCCGCAAACCTGCATTTGCCCTGAGTGGCACACAGAGACTGACAGACACAGTACACAAAATCTTCTGCCTGTAGTGTATTAAAAACTGCATGTTTGAATTGGTTACATAACCAGAACAACTCTGCTGTTTTATTTTCCACTCTCCACTCTTCTTGACCCCCTGTTACTGGAACCAGCATGTTCCGTGTCCACCCCCCCCACCTGGGAATTTACTCCATCTACCAGTGAAACGCGATGCTCTCTCAGACCGCCTGACAGACAGAAACGTCGGTCACAGATGACTGCCTGACCACGATGTCACGGCAGCGACCTCGTGTCGAGTGCCAGGCTCCACCGACGCCGGACCCGGCTGACGGTTTGCCTTGAGGGACGTAAGATAGCTGGGAGAGGGGCCTGGGCAATGGTCTGTACACCACGATGTAAGGGGTCTGGAAAGGCTGAGTGCTCGCCACGCTGACACTGGCAGAATATCAAACGAGGAAGAAGGGGAAGCGGAAAAAGACAAACAAGCAGCAGAAACGGAGGGAGGCAACCTTCAGCTGCGGTTGGCTGTTTATACGACTGTGCCGGAAACAGAACGCGCTCACTCATTCACACCTCGCCGGCCATGTGACTCATCTGTCCCTCTCTCTGCGCCATCACCCCTGATGGGGCACTTCTGCGCTTTGGTAAGTCCAGGTGAAAAAAGGGAACGATGGGGGAAGACATGGAAACAAGCACAGGATCTACCAGGCAGGCAGAGGTGGTCCCAACCAAAGCTGGCCTCTGTCGTAATGTGCCGAGGTCTCTGCATAGGTCACCGAAAGGCAGGACAGAGCCCGTGTTCAGCAGCTCTCTCCAGTCCGGGGGCCAAGGACTCATGAACACGACATCACAAAAAAACTTTTATCCGGGCTCCCAAAATGACGAGCCACACTGAGGATTTAATGTGCGGGTCTGGTGCTGTTGATAGCTATTGGGCACCCTTGAAAAATATGAATACGGCGCTTGTTTAATAATGCATTACACTCATAGTTGCAAGATCGGCTCCCATAAAGACCCCCGGCTGTGTACTTATAGGCAAACTACTCAATGTGAATTATTCCAGTAAAGCATCCAGCTGTTCAGTTATGTAAGAAGTCAGTTTGGACAAAAGCATTAGCTAAGCAACTACATGCAAATGTAGTGTAATTGTATTAGGCTGGTGTTTATTGTTTTGGTGACTGTTGCTTAGAGTCATGCATTAGTAGCAGGTTACTTCACTGGGACGTTTAGCGGCTTCTCTAGCACACATGATCCTTTCGAAGCAGTTAGGCCAACGCATGGTGTGCGGGGAGGGGGAGCCTCACCAGCTCGCCAAAGTGCTTCATGGCGTACTCCAGTACCCCTGCTGCTGCCTCTGGCTGCTGGAGCTTGTTATTAATGCTGCAAAACAGAGAGAGAAAGCACTTTCAGGCATTGCAACACCTTGCAAGAACAGCAGGGGGCAGAGTGGTTAAAGAACTGGATCAAAAACTTGCACCACTGAAACAGGAAACTGTAAAACCTGACAAAAAAAAAGTTTAAACTGAAAATGACTTTTGAAAGCAGCTGGTTTTGCTTGATTTTTTAATAACTCCACAGAGTGATAATACGCTGTGGTGAAGGGAAATGATGACTGGATAGTGCTGGTATGCTGGCTGTAGTGGGCTTTGCGGTCACACAGAGAGCAGGCCTCACACAGGTCACACAGGGCACAGGCCTCACACAGGTCACACAGAGAGCAGGCCTCACACAGGTCACACAGAG